TTTTTTCCCCCAATAAAAATCAAAGTGCTTGTGGAATTTTGGGGGAAATATTTGTGCTTATTTACATAGACAAATATGACTTTTTATTACTCGATGTATAGATCATGGACTATAATCTCACATTAATTAAAGCTGAGGCAGCTGTTTAGTACAAGTAAGTAAGTTTTTGACAACTTTTGAGAAAAATCTGCAATTAACTCCCAGTTTTTAGCGCAATTTGTTGATTTTCAGTGAATTTCCTCGATAATTCTCAAGAAGCTGGAGGGACCGATTGACATAATCTGGCAGTAAACAGATTAAAACTGCATTGATTTGATTGATAACATAATATTGAAGACAGTGTTTAGTCTAGAATCTAGAGGGCCACATAGAAAGCTGTGGTGGGCCAGATTTGGCCCACGGGCCTTGAGTTTGACAAACGTGTTGTAGAGCTTTCCCTGGTTTAACACACTTGATTTAGATGAATCTAAAACATGGACAGGTCATAAAGGACTGGAGTTGGAAATACTGGGTAACTTCCAGATTTTTTTGTTTGTCTTTTTAAAGAGTTTCTGTTGCTTTTAATGTAAAGCAGGTCATCATTGACATAACAGTTCATATGAGCTCTCAAAAGTTTCGACACAATCTAAAGAAATTCACCTAAAGAGAGCACTTTGGGCTGGGACAATTCTTTGCAAATGTATTCTTACCCCTTGTTGTTTTGGATTTAGGTCTGTACTTTGACTGTGCCTTTCCAGCGTGGATTTAAAACATTTCTTAAATACTTTTATTGTTCTTTGTTTAGGCCCAGGGTGAACCTCTACCCCAGTTTCAAGTCTTTAGCAGCCTCTAACAGGCGATGAACATCTTCTGCATGTTTCTCCCTAACCTTTGTGGCACGGTCTTTATGAAGCCGTCTCATCACAAATGTTCTATGTGTTTACTATTTAGTAAATACTATTTAGTAAATACTTCTTAAGATAATTGCTTGCAAATATTTTTACTCTGGAGGTTTGGGGGGTGGAGTTTCAGAGTACTAAAATGGAAGAAAAAAATATATTTTTCCTTCCCCTTTGCAAAAATATACTATTTGGTGTCTGTCTAAAGCCCCTTCTTTTTTTTGTATGTAAATTGCAAATTTGTTAAAGGGGTGTAAATACTTTTGCGAACACTGTAGCTTGTTTGGGGTTGAGGGTGGCAGTAAAGGTAAAGAAGACACAAATCTAGAGGGCCTGAGTTTCCCTGAAATAAAGCAATAAGGAGATCAGGGGTCATGGGTCAGCACTCACCATTGTGCCAAGAAAAGTAGTTCCTGTTCAGGCTCCATTTTTTTTTTTTTTTTTGCAATCTGAGAGTATAAACACAGACAGACGGGAAGAGTCCAGAGAGAGGAGGAGAGGAAAAGCAGAAGCAGCACAGATGTTGAGCTGAGTCAATGTAAGAGAAGCTAAAGTATGTTGAACAGAGACAGCTTTATGCATTTATCTTTCTTTAGAAATACATCAGATGAACTGCGTCACAAACGACGGCTAACAAGCACAAAACGCAGCTGTTTTTGTCGCGCAAAACGCTTTATTGATCAGCTTGCGACTTAGTATCAACGATCTGGTCGTTGCCTGAGTGCGTAACTTTTCGTTCCTGGAAACTTTATGGTTACGGCATGCTCTGATCAATAGTTCAGCTGAAACTAGGAGTGCTGATTCTTTGTGTGACTAAACCTGCTCAATCAGACTTTGATTATCCCCGGGTCAATAGCCCTGACTGCAGCCTGAGCAGCTGACCAATCAACTCTCACCGCACTGAAACTCCCTTTGGTTCTGGGAGGCGAATCTACTTTTCCATTGGTATTCGGTTTCTCCTCTCAACAATTGTGGACACACTGTGAACCTTTAGGCAAAGCAAGAGTCGAGTTTGTTGTGTTTGTCGAGGCTTTGGCTAACTGACACAATTGAAAGTACATTACAGAGGTCTGGGTTTGAAGTGCAGGTATGCAAAGCAACGTCTGGTTCTTTTGAGTCACTCCAGGGTTCCCTGCCACACGCTTTGACCTTTTTCTCATTTTGCCACATTACAGCCACACATTTCAATGACTTTTCATCATAAGGCAAACACAAATCAGCATGATTGCTGAATGGGAAAGAAAATAGTCAAAATAAAAACTTGATACTAACGGCGTCTTGGGTTTAACCTCGAGACTTTTGCCTCTTCTTTTGCCCCCCCTCCACATTTCCTGTATGATTACTGTCCACAAAGACCATTTAGTATCTAGAAAATCTGATCCTGCACAACACCATCTCCTTAATAAAACACTGTGGCGGAAACATCACACTATGGGAAACAAATAGGCCACAGACTGAGCTAAATACAGGGATAATAGTGGAACAAAACTGTAAAATTCACCTATCAGGACAACAACCCTAAACACACCACCAGACCTACAGCGGCGTAGAGCAAATCATGCTTTTGAGGCTTATGGACAAAGTGCCAGAGTTTGTCCATTGTTTTTAAGTTATATTTAAAGGAGAATCTGTGCAGGTTTTCTCCTTCCAGTCTAACTGAGGTTGATCCGTTTTGAATGAATGCAGTCTCTCGTTCAGATATGCAAAGCTTTTAGTAAAATACCAAAAACATGCAGCTGTGATTGCAGCAAAAAGACGCATCTGCAAAAAATTTTACTTTGTAGGACTGAAAAATTTAAGCTTATAATGCAGCATCCAATGCCCCATGCCCACATTCCTTCTTCCCGCCAAAATAAAAGCATGTTTCACCACAGGATTGGTGTGTTCAAGGAAAAAACGCAGCATCAGATTTGATACTAAAAGGAAATCCGCCTGTTATTCCATTTTTTTAATTTATGAATTATACACTACTGTGTGTTGCTTCATCCCATGAAGTTCATAAAAAGCACCAAATTAACAACCCAAAGATAGAACTCGAGACACATGTTAAGTTTTCCAAAAAATATGGGGTTTATTGACTTAACTGCAATCAATACTTACAAAAAAAAAAGAGGGAAAATAGGTTTTGATATAAACTCACAGAAATTACTGTAGTGAAAACACATGGCTGAACTAAAAAAAAGAAAAAAAATACATTCAACAGTTTCACTTTCTTTGTGTCATAATCCTTTCACACGTGAAGGCAACACAGAACAAGCGACTTGTACTCTGTTTTTCTTTTTTTTTTTTTTTTAATCAAATATAAAAAGGCTGAGAAGCCTTTAGCTACCTGGAATGTATTCAAAGAGGCACTTCCACTGGTCAAGAAGGGGGCCGAGCAAGTGCGTCAAGCATTCGATCAAATTATAAAGAAAAAAAAAACACTTTCCTCAACTCATTTGGTCACAGCTATTGCTTGTAATAACAAACTGGGAGGAAAACCATTTTAAACCAGTCCTCCAATTGGGACAGGGTTTTTTTCCCCAAGAATTTTATCTCAAAAAAGCTCAATTTATGTAATAACAGTTGGCAACTGCTACTGTCAGATCGTTGCAAGTTGTGCAGGGAAAACATCTGGAATGAACACAAGCAAATCTTGCTCAGATGGAATTGCAGTCCAATGAGAGGGAGAAAAGGAAAAACAAAAATAAGAAAAGAAGAAAAAAGTATAATAAATAATCAAAAACGCAAACTTCTTTTTTGCATTTTTTTTCTGCTTTAAATTAGTTTCATTTCTGACAAAGTGTAGTTGCAGAACAAAAAAGTCATTGAAGTACAATATATTAAACTGTGGAAAAAAAAGGAAAAAAACTGACAAAAAAACATCTTCACAATCTTTAGATTAATATGGAAGATCATAATTTAACATAAAAGAAAATATATTCTATTGTTCATTATCCAGATAAATACAAAAAACAAAATTAACAAAAAAATGCATATGATCACCAATAAATATGTTCTGATAAGTTAAATAAGCAGTGACACGCAAACCTTCTGTCTGGAAAGTTTTTTTTCTTTTTTTGTCAAATAATAACCGTAATAATAACATTAATAAAAAATAATTATCAAATAATGAAAGCAAAAGGGGTGTAATGAGTACAGAATGCTCAGTGGAGCAGGTTGTAAAGAGGAACAAAAGGAGGGCGGAGGGAGGCGGGGGGGATAAAGTAAAACAGCTTGGAGGTCCGATCTGAACTGAACCATGGGAATGCTGGAAATCCCCCAGACCGGAGAGGAACGACGAGGTGGGGGAGCGGGAGCAAAGTCATACAGGTTTAATGATCAGTTCGATAAAGACTTCCTTCCCCAGATAGTGACAAATAAAATATATAAGCCAGTGACCAGCAACAGGAGGGGAAGCTCAGATGAAAGGGCGAGGGGAGTATTTAACCAACTTCCAGTTCAAAAGTCCTTCCTGCAGACTCACCCAGATCAGAAACAGAAGACGGGACTCGAGGAGCACCGACAGGGGCGTGGGAGCAGGTAAAGAAGCGAAAAACAGTAGTCCATCCACCCTAAACGCATGCAGAAGCCGCCCCAGGCACTTTATTTTTTTATTAAACCTTTCTTTAAAAAAAACAAACAACTATTCATATCTTTTCAGGGTCTGTTACTTTGTTTTTGTCTCGTATCAGTCTGTAAGAAACGTCTGCTGCAGAGCTACAATTACATTAGTGAGCACCTTCTAACTAGCTCAGGGGGGAAGTGACGTCATCAGGGACACAGCGCAGGAAGACGGGAGGGAAGGGAAGGTTGGGTTAGTGCAATGCACTCCCCCTTTCCAAGGCCACTTGTACTGCTACACATTCACGAATGAAATAAAGAAAAAAAAGAAGGAAAGAGAAAAATAAACAAGTGGCACCTGGAAGAAAAAACAGTCAATTGTTGTTCTTGTGATTTTCATTGTTCAGTTTCCACTCCTCGTTTGGCACTATGACACATGGCATCATTTCTAAAACCTTATGTGCAGATCAGCTGGGGTGAAAATATAATTTAGTTCCCTTAATTTTATTATTACATCCTTAAAAACAACAAGGATCTGGAGTAAGGGAGGACAGGGGAAGCTCAGGGGAACAGAGGGGAAGAGGTAGAGGGGAGTGCCATGCTCTCTTTGTGTCACCGATCTTTAGAGCGTGCCGTTACTCGTCGGAGATGGAAAGGCGGCTGAAGATGGGAAGGCGTCGGCTGTTGTCCAGCGAGGGCGACTCGGAGCCGGAGCTGCTCTGGTAGTCTTCCTGGTCTGACAGAGAGTCTGGGGGGCTTGAGGAGGTTTCAAACAGCGGAGGGGACTCCAACATGGGTCTGAAGAAGTAAGGTGTGCCGGTCGGAGAGGGCGGCGCGGCGCTGTTTGGCTCCGCGCCTGCCGTACCGGTGCTTAGGCTCGGCCCAAACAGGTTGGCCAGCTCCTGGCTGGAATAGGTGAAAGGGTTGCTGCTGGGCCAGTTTGGGACCTCGTCTGGGAAGAACATGGGCGGTGGGGTGACCGAGGTCGGGCTGTCCCTAAGTCCCCCGGAGCTGGAGAAGCCAGCGAAGCTGTAGCTGTGCTGCAGCCGGGGCCTCTCCATCTTGTTGGAAGAGTTTAAAGGGGACGACTGCTGCGGAGGTCCGCGACGCTCCTCGGCATTGTGGATGAAGTGGCAACGCGGCCCGTAGGGGCAGAAGCCGATGGTGTGGAAGGTGCGGCACAGCTCGGTTTTGTATTTGGGGTGACGGCTAAGGCTGCGCAGTTCGTGCACCCCGTGGGCGAACTGACACTTGTCGCCGTACTTGCAGGTGCCGTTCTCCTCGAAGGGCCTGCACAGCTCCGTCTTGTAACGGCTGGAGTTCACCGGGCTGCTGCCGCCGCCGCCACCACACGTCGGGCTGGAGGGCCCCAGGCACTTGTTGAGGAGCCGCTCGCCCGTCTCGGAGAAGGAGCGGTCTCGCAGGCGGGTCTCCTTGTTGTTGCTGCTGCTGGCGTTGCCAGCCCCTGAGATGAGCGAGGAATGCTCCACCGTCTTCAGGCTGTTCAGAAACTGGTTCTGGCTGAACTTGGTGCTGCTGACAGAGTGACGCCGATGGAACACGCTTGCCATTGCTGGGGATCCCACCGCCTTCCTGTCCAGCAGGGATCCGGTGGCATTGGAGAGGGGCACGTTGGTGCCAGTGCAAGGGACAGACACTGGGTGAGGGCCCCCCAGGTTGTTGTTGTAGCTGAATTTATTGTTCTGCAAAGAAAGAAACACGTGGTATGAGAGCATAGTCTAGGACTGTCTTCAGGACTGACATGACAAGGGTTTCAAAGAGATCGCATATTAAAAAGTAGGGCTGCATGGTATTAGGAGAACACAACATTGCAAGATTATTTTCCATCATCAAAAAAAGTCTTCCCCGCACTGCCTGAGCCGTAGGATTAGTAAGATTAATAACAAATTAATAACAAATTAAAAGTAAACCCAAGTGGTCAGGTACAGCTCTGGCAAGCAGGATTTCAACGCAATGTCATCTGACATTCAACAGTCAACCAGATATTTCTCCCAAGCAAGTCCTTTATAAATGCAGTAGTTAGGATATTAATATTCTGAAGATGATTGCAGTTGGATACGGTAGCTCCATCCAACGTCCCCTCAGCATATCAGTGCCTCCACCGTGCTTTACAATGGGGACGGTATGTTCAGTTCAAAGCACAACGAGGTATGCACGCAACAGCAGCATTAATCCAGAGGTTAGATTACACATCTGGTTTCTGTTTACTTATTTGGAGCCAGCTGACTTTATTTACGGTCACCGGCGTACGGGGGTGATGGCGGTGGGGGGTGAGACTGAATAGAAACCTCCTATCGAACTGCACGATTGTTCCTTTTTGGCTCCGACAACAGAAGCGGATACAGGCCTATAGAACAGCAGCTGGTTTGGCAAGTTGCCCTGGTTAGGAATGTGTGCCTGTTTAGTAAATGGAGCAACAGCAGCACATGAGAGGCCTGTGGGCTGCGTCATTTGAAAGACAGCGAAAGAGAGGCAAAACATCCTGCCTGCCGGACTACAAAGAGAAACTCTGGGTCTGCATCGCAACACACCCACCCAACGACCACAGGTGACTGATTGACATGAGAATGAAAAGTAGCAGAAGCAATGGAGGGGGGGAAGAAAGGCGAAATAAAATGTGCTACGACACATCTAAGACACATCACATCACTCACTGAGCTTAAACAGAGGTGGCACCAAGGGAGGTTTGGTGGGGGGAAGACAGGGGCTTTACCACCTCAGCCAGACACACTTACAATGTTTTTCCAATATAATGTTTTGGGATGTTGCCTCCTTTTCAAATTTGGTTATTTTTTGTACCCAGCTTATTTGTGATTCACTAGAATTTAGTCCCTTGGAATCATTGTTTGGTCAGTGAAGCCAATGCACCATGTAACATAAGAGTCAAATCATCCAAACAGTGATCAGAATCAAAATAAGTAGTAGTAGCTAGTTTTTCTACCTTAAAAAAAAAGAAGAATCCTATTCAACCACGAATAAGATTTGAGCATTTTACAAGGATTTATCTCCGTAATAAAACAGCTTGTTTACAGGAGAGTAAAGTGTGAATGGGTGTATATGAATTACTACAAATGAAAGTTTTCTTTGCCATTTTTTCGCATCCACCACTGATAACCAGCCTTACAGAGGAGGAAAGCTTATCTAAACTCCAAATATTCTGATTAACAGTTCGTTTTTCTTGTTGTTGTTGTTGTGCTCACCCCAAGGTTTACTGCTCTCTTTAGAAACTTTCTGGAAGCGCCCCTGAGAGGCAGTAGCCTTCAACTGCTTCCAGGAGCAAAGACCAAGCTAAAAGCTCAGTAAACCTTGTTAATGATTAGCGAGCATGTGGCTGCTGCGAGTATTAAAAAGTAGCGCAAAACCTCCCCTGTCTTTAAACGAAGCCAGTCTTGGCCTGTGGGGCTGAACTGAAGCAACAGTTGCGTTAGCTGATGTGGCACATGCTGAAAATGAAAAAAAAAAAAAAAAAAAAAAAAAAAAAAAAAAAAAAAGAAAACACCCGAGTTTACCATTAAAACTAATGTCAAACTACCGGCATCGATACGCTTGGAGTCGGCTAGGAGATAATTATTAAACACAAATGCCCTGCCGGGGATGAACTGAGTCAAAAAGCACGGCCGTATTGTTTAGTCTAAGTGAAGAAAACTCAGCAAAACAAACCAGGCAGCGCGAAGAGCGGCGGCTGTGGCAGCAGAGGGCCGCGGTCATGCGGCTCGCCATTCCTGCACACTGCGCTCACAGCAACTCACCAAAACTAAGCTCAAGATTAAAAATAAAATAAAATAAAAAAATAAGTGTTCAAAATACCTTGTTTATCATTTCAAAGTCGAAGAAAGGCGACACCACGGCTGTGGTCATCTTTCCAGCAACCAAGTCGAGTTAGGAAAGAAAAAAAAAAAGCGGCCGCCGCTTGTTGGAAAAGTTACGCGGGTCTGCGGAGTTTCTGATTCGCAGCTCCTGTGTATTTTACACCCTGCAGACTCCCCCTCTGCCCCGCTTTAGCTCGGACATTGGCTTTATAAGCCCTGGCAAGGAGGAGCTACAGAAGTGCTGGGCGGTTACTTTCTGAACTTTTTTTTTGTTCCTCTTCTTTTACAGACAGACTTTTTTTCTCTTTCTTTTTTTTTTTCTTCTAATGTGTACTGGCTTGTCAGTTTCTTTGACATCACTACGTTGCTGTGAATTCTTAATAACAGAGGCAGAAGTTTGCTTGGCTTAGACACGGTTGCTTTCAGATCAGCGGCAACCCCCAGAGGCGGCTCAAACTTTTACGAGGCCCAAAGCAGAGTCTCCTTGGGAGGGTCATCTCCAGTTAAGCCTACCTGACCTGCGTTCAATATTGTCTGGCCATATTCAATCATGTTGATATATTCTGCGAACGCAAGTTGTTTTTTTTTTTTTGTTTGTTTTTTTAGCAGTTACTACTGGTGAACAAACAGTAGATTTAGAGAAAGAAATATTTACATTTTCATAATTATTTGCTTCCTATAGTAATACTATAAAGCTCTCCTGAGATAATAAGATATAAGATAGTTGAATTACAATTTCAACAAATTAGTTCGCTCATATAATCAAATTTCTAATTTCTCTTTTTTCAGGGAAGGGAATCCAACCTTAAAGTTGTGCTCACAACCCGCAAAAAAAAAAAAAAAGGCTGCGGCTTGTTAATATGGACGTTTTTCTCGGCTCAGATGCAAGTAGCTTAAATTCCCTTTTTTTGTCTCCTCTGTTATCTATTAAGAATTTATTTGGTTTCTTTGTGTGGACATGCAGACGCTTTGAATTTAAACTCTGCTGGAGCTCCTCCAGACCAGCAGGGGGCCATAAGCAGCTGCAAACTTTACCTTTACGTCAGCGTACCTAAGGTCCTCAATGTTTTTCCACCTCGAATCTTGATTGGGACGCCCCCAAGTCTGTGCTGCCCTGGGCAATGAGCCCTAATGCACACCGATAGATAGATAGATAGATAGATAGATAGATAGATAGATAGATAGATAGATAGATAGATAGATAGATAGATAGATAGATAGATAGATAGACTGTATTTCATTTTTAGGATAGTTTTGAGTAGTTGAAGATTGTTGACTGAGACTTACAAAATTATCCCGAGGGTTTCAGCTACCATACTGCTCTGTAATTAATTTACTCCTAATTGTCGTCACTTTGTGGGACTTTCCGGTGAATTTAGAGAGCAGGAGCTTTAACTCTTTCCCCTACCACATAGTTATGTGCATTCTACCTCTCTGTTTTCTTCCCCCCCTCCCCCCCCTTTTTTTTTCATTTTACCAAAACTCAGACGGTGTGCCTTACATGCAGGCCTAAAGGTGCGCTCCTTGAATTGAATATGTGCATATCATTTCACCAGGCAGGTGATAACATGACACCCAAGTGACCTCACCAGATTCAGACCGCATTCTGTCATGGGTGACGCATGCAGAGACACAGGAAAGGGGCCGGCTGCAGACTGTGGGACCCATACAAATCCATTGAGGCCCATCTTCCTCCCGCTTGCTGAAATCCATGACAGAGCAGCTATCGGCCGTTTGTTTACATCAGCGTTGGGTCGCGGCAGAAAGGAGAAGAGTGGAAATGAAAGGCAGGGTCGTGAGGGGAGGAGGGAGAGACGGAGGAAGGGGAGGATGGCATGAGGAGAAGATTTATGGAGAGGGGCGCAGCGGGGTAGAGGGGGGGCTTTATTACTACACAGTACTGCCCCGGGGAGGTGAGGGGAGAGGGGTGGGGACAGAGAGGGAAAACATTCCCTTTCCCCTTCCTCTCCTTTGCCTATACAGGAGCCACACAGGGGGTGTGGAGCTTTGTTTCTTTGCTTGCAGGAGTGGAGGTGGAAGGGAAGGTGCTGTTCTGCTGAAAGGAGTTTGAACAGAGGAGAGAGCAGGTACAAAGCCTGAGTCAGGCCTTTGTGGAGCGGCAGAAGAACTTCATGCAAACAGTTGCTTTTCCTGGACTCTGTCAACGATCGGCGAGGGAGTGTTTGAACATTAAAAAAAATAAAAAATCAAAAAGACTCTTTTTACGAGCCAGGCCTCTGTGGAGCAATCTCCCCCCCGGAGTGTTTTCACAGACGACAGGGTGGGATGACAGACTCGCTGGAAATCACGTCTGCAGTTCAAAGGCCTCGTCACTGATTGATAAAGTGAATCAGATCAATTGTCTCCCTCTAAGGAATAGTTACAGCAGCGTGGCCCGCGGGCTTTCCCACACCCCCACCGTGCAAACGACGAAAATATGTAGCCGGTGTGGAATTGCTTTGCAGGTCTGTAACATGCCAGACATGAAGCAGAACAACAGAGTTTAAGCGTGCTGTAGTGTGTGGCTCGTGTAGTTGTGAGGTTCGCAGCTGGAAACGTCACAGCAGAGTCGTAAAGATCTCAGGCGGCTCAACGGAGCAATGAAGAAGCCTCAAAGTTACATTGTTTTCTTTAATGCTCCCCGGTGTAAGCTATGAAAAGAAATACTGAAGAGTATTCAAAACATTTCATATGAGCTGTTTTATGAATTAATACTTCAGATCAATAAAAGTTTGGAACTTTTGTGATTAAACTTGAATTTACGTCCATATCAAGGTTAGCGACAGCTTTACAAAGTTTGCAAGCAAGGTGAACTTTCTAAAGGAGTTTTATGAGGAAATGAAAAAAGTCATTGCAGTTATGTGCATGTTAGTCAAAAATATTCGCTGGTAAATGTATACTAAATGTATAATAAATATCAAAGCAGCTACTTTATTTTGGTAGAGTCAGAGGATACGTTGAGATACATATATGCTGTATTAATGTTATTAACATTAACTCACTGAAAGGAAAAGCTAATTGTGTTGGAACAAGGATTTAAGTTTGTGTCCAGCTTTTCACTCAGCGCTAATGCTGAATGCAAAAGAAGTTTGGTGAGTATAAAATATTAGCTCTTCATATTCTTTCCATTATGTTTAAGCACATTAGTTTATGAATGTAATGTTCACTACTGGTAAGCGTCTTACAACACTGCCTACTTTACTTCTGAAGCAAATCTCACATGAGGTTTTTGTTTTGCATTTAGCCCATGATGGTTTGATCAGTTAGCTGTTAGCTTTATTTGTAGAGTTCAGTATCTAACAGAGGACAGATACTTTTATGTGTGTTGTATTGTGAATGGATATGCCCAACTATATAGATCTTTTATAAGAAAGTTTCTGTGTTGAGGAATAATTGAAGTTAAACATAATAATAAGTAGATGAAGCGTAAAGAAAAAGTTAAAATTCTAACATTAGCTGTGGCATTTTTTTTTTGTAAAACAGTCTATTATACTGTTATAATGTTGTTAGGATGAATTTGGTTCATCCTAACAAAAGAGCTTTCATAAAACTTATGTTTAAAACGTTTCTATTGAGCAGGGAGCTTAGTAGGTTGTTTATTAGAAGCACTAATGCCAACATCAAGCTTGCTAACCAAACTTCTACTTTATATGTCAGAATAGATCTAAAACTTACATTATTAGTAACAATACATAAAATTAGTTATGTAATGTAGTGAAATCTATCCAAGTTTCTAAACTGTTACACCATGACATTGTTTGATAGATAATTGTGCCTAGTTTAGGAGGAGGCACCTGTTTCCTGGAAAAATGTAGGAATAAAACTGTAAACACAAACAGCAGTAGTCACATGTAATCCTACTTCCTATATGCAGCCAGCTAACCACAAGTAACAAAACTGTGTAAATGTTGTGCACACTACCCTGATTTTTCATCATTTATTTCTGCGTATTAGCATGTTTTGTTAGCTAAAAAAAAAAAAAAAAAAAAAAAAAAAAAAAAAAAACTGCGTCTTCAGGAATCCCCTTCCCCCAGTCGCTTCCCAAGCCCTGGTTCAGAGTGCCAAACAGCAATTCCAGTAAATTCACAATGCTCACAAACATACACTTCCTCAATGCGGTCAGTTTTTTATTTGTGAAAAAATCCCTTCTGAACAACGAGCAGGATGTCTTGTTTCATCCGTCACATTGTTTCAAATCAAAATATTTTCAGTTTTACCTCCAGACATGAGAAACGTCTCCAAAGCGAGAACAGGTTGGCTTGACAAGAGATTGGCATGATGAAACAAACTTCTAAGGTGTTTTTGAAAGCTTTTTTTTTTTTTGTTAGCTGATAAAGTGCAAAGACAAGAATCATGAGCTGTCAGTTCATGTTGACTTTTATCAACTTGAAATGCTGGCGTTTCAGTTCATTTCAGAACACGTGAGCGCCTTCAGGTCAGTGATATCCTCCTGTTTTTCAGGCACCGTCGAAGCTGCAGCCAGTCACTCCTCGTCCTTTGCTGCACGGTTTGTTTTCTGCCTTTTCTGCTTCCACTCCCTCCTCCTCCTCCTCAGAAGGGAGGACGAGGCTGGAGTTCGAGGTCACTGATAAACTTTAAGTGGGATGACGGGATGTTAAATTTTCATCTAATTGAACAGGAGATGAAAGAAAAGCTATATACAACATATTCAGGGACTCTTAAAGCAACAGTTGGTTGTTGTGCCTCATTGCAGCCAACAGAGGGCAGAGTTCTTCCTTTCCTCTCTCCAGTCTTAGAATTTCCCCACTTCTTTCTTACTTTTTTCTGCCCCTGAGATAATTTAAAGATCTAGATAGTTGCCATAAGCATACGTTAAGATCAGATCACTTATACCTCCTGTAAATTCTCGAGAGACTAGATATGCACATTGTCTCACCCAAACACAACTCTGTGTGTTGAATCAAGTAGAATTAGGGGTCAGCTAAAGATGTGCAAGTTGTGTAATCAACCTCTGCTCTGACACACTACCTTAATAGCCTCATATAAAGCACAAGCTTATCTGTGTTACAATTGCTCACATATGCAGAGTGGTATTTTTAATCTTTGCAACACCACATCCCACTTAATGTGACCGCAAGCTCATAAAGAAGCTGTCTCAAAGGAGGAATAACTGTTCTTATTGCTGGAGGGACTTTATGTGTACGTGGGGAGGGGTTGGTGGGGGGAGGGGATA